CTTTTCTTTTACCACATACCAAATCATGGAAATTTATTATTGAAGTTCCTTATTCGAATGTTTGTGGTGTAGGTGTTAAAGAAAATTTCAATCAAATTCTACCGATTCTTTCCATTATTTTCTCATCAACGCTAGAAGAAATCACAGATGAGAATTATCAATTATCTATTGCAAAAGAAGAAGAACTCGTAGCTCGATTCTTAAAAGCATACGACGATCGAACTATCGATCGTATATCAGTAACAACAAATGATGGTATTGATATAGACGTTAGTTTCGAACCAATAACCAACGCTGATCAATGTTGCACATATATTTATAATTGTATTCGAAAGTATGCTCCAGACTTACCGAAAAACAAAATCTATGAACTTTCATTTACGAAATTTTTATATCGTCGTGTACGCTTCTTTGAAAAACATTACTATCGTGGGAATCAAACTATTAAACGATTAGGTAGTATTGCTATGCAACAGATGATTAATGAAGCAAAATCTTTAACACAAATTAATTTTCGAGATAGTCATTATCCTCGTGTTTATCTTGTTTATGATCCTGAATTTTCTTTACATTTATTACATGGTGATTGGAATCATGTTTCATCTGATCTAAAAAGCCTTCTTGGTACTAATGATCCATTAAAATCTGAATATTATGCAAAAAAAGATTATTATGCTGAATGTTTAGCATGGTTAATTAATATTAAATATGAAACATTTATGAAAATTGTTCATGAAACAAAATTTATTCTAACAGAAAATTTTGCTTATAAACTTTTTCACGTACATGAAAGAAAATTGACAAAATTAGCTTTAATAATTGAAGGTGATACTGGTGTAGGAAAAACATTTCTTTTAAAATTCTATTCATTATTATTAAATTCAAAAAATACGAATGATCCTTTTCAAGGAAATATTATTCCAAAAATCAGGGAACATTCGAATCAATTTCTTCTAACTATTATTAAAGCGACGATAGAAAAATAAGCAGATATTTTAAATGCATTTCTTCACCGAATTCGACCAAAACTATTAGATCTAGAAAATGATGATGAAGATGAAGCTGAACTTCTTAATCAACGACCGACGCAAATGCCAGCTCTACCTGCAGCAGCACAACAAGCACAAAACAATGAATCGATTGATGATGTTCTATTAAAAGAAATCGAACAATCTTTAAAAAATGAAGAATTTAAAAAAACTATTTTATATCATATTTGGAAAACGATTCTAAATGTTTCAACGGAAAATGCTACGGGCTTCAACAGCAACTTTAATTGAAAGTTTACATGATTATGTTACGAATGAATTAGTCAATTATCTATTGATTGGATGTAGTTCTCGACTGAAAAATTTACTTCAAGAAGTTTGTTCGCCTAGTGCTGAAATGTCCATTGAAATATTTAAAGAATATTTATTTGATAGTCAAATT